GTTGGATTACGGAAGTGTCAGTGTGATAATCTGACACGGTGCTACTCACCCGAACAGACGTGCGACGGCTTTGCGCATTGTTACATGTTCACGACAAGGACGCATGATTCAACAGACCTCTTGGCATGTGCTGATGACGAATTAAACTGCGGTAATGTTTCCATTTATATCAAGCAAAGAGAAGGAATATGACTATGGTCTTCGGAAATCCACTCTATTAGTCATTTATCGATAGTGGCAATACGCTATATTCTATAATTTATCATTACCCTACACTTAAAGAGAAAGTGAGGTACATGACTGTACATTCGTTTCAAGAGGGAAATATGTTATTGATTATTGTATCGAACAAGATGCAAGACAAATTTTGGTCTTCACATTACATTACATGCTTTCATCGTTTTTAGTAGTAAAGCGTTACTTCATTATTAAGATTTATGAATGAAAATACATGTTTATACCAGGCTGTTCTATTTTTAAGAATCCTTCCTTTTTTAATTGTGTTAAAATATTTTATAGACAAGTAGTGTACTTTTTCAAGTACCTTGTGTATATAAAAAAAGCATTTCAGCTATGGCTGCTTTCATCAATAAACCTTTCACTCAATCTTTAATTCACATTCAAATGAAGCGGTAACGTTACAATACATACCGTCTTGTCTTGCTATTTTAGCGCCATGTGTATTATAATCATCAAATACAGTTTGGTTTATCAAAATGGAACTGCAGCCCACAGGATGAATTGTGTGTTCTTACATACATACAGAATCAAAGTCCAAGGCATTGTTCTGCAATGTCATTATCTAAAACTGCCACCAACACATTCAATTATTCATTACTCAATATCTATGGTAATAGAAACTTTAAGAATATATCTTTTGTATCTAATACATGTCTTTCCCTATTACAGAAGCATGCAATGCCACTGGTGATTTTGATTGTATATCACCCAAAAAATGCATTGAACAGCGCCGTGTTTGCGATGGAGTTCCTGACTGTGTCTCATTCTTTCGTGGCACCTACATTCCGCCACAGGATGAAGTGAACTGTGGTAAAGAGACCTTGAATATATAATTTTTGTTCACTCGGATTAGTTAAGTTGCACACAGTTATTGTCTTATTGTGTTCTGTGGTATACCTGGTGGAAATGCATGATCGTAATTAAGTGCATTTATCATGAAGATGAAATTATTCCGAAAGACAATGCATTAAAAGAAAGAATTTGAGATAACCCACATATCAATCATTTTATGATTCGTTAATCAAAAATGACAGGTCACTGTACAGGGCTGTGGGAGGACATAAGGATACATCTTAGACTATACTTACCCTTTTGGGAACTTGATTACCCGTACGCCAAAGAAGAAGGAGTCTTATACGACTATGCCTGCAGCACAGGGGACTGCACTTCAAGTTTTTTCTTCTGTAATGATGTCAACCAGTGCAGTGACTGGGAGGACGAGCAAGGCTGTGGTGATTGTTTTCTCTCTTGTTTCGAAAAGGCAGTTGAAACGACAATGACTCATTTATACATTATCATACCAATAATATAAAAAGGCTGCAAAAATAAAATCTAGTGTTGGTCGATCTTTTTTTAAATTTCTCATGAATAATATTGAGCATCAGTTTCTCTAACGGTTTTAACTATATAATGAAAATACAATGCTTCAACAATTTAATGTGAACATGGACATACAGTATTTAATTGGCATCTGCTTAAATTCTTGGAATATTTTTCAGAGTCAGTACGGTGCCCTGGTACAAAGTGTGAGGAAACACACAAGTGCATTCCCTCCACTAATGTCTGTGATGGAGTACCGGACTGTCTGGCGTCTACAGAGGAGCAGGATTGTGGTATTGATTACAACAATGCTGGAAATTCCGTCTTTACGTACACATTTAAAGCTTGCGTAAAGCTACTCGCGAGTGAAGGAACTTTCACGCAATCTTTAATGTATGCGTCAAGAATGGATTCTGTGACGTGTAAATAGTGCTAATTACAATGCCATAGTAACTCGGCCGGTTTTATTGTATCATAACATAAGCATGGATTTAAGCAATGGCACACAAATTCTCTTACTCTGCATTACCATCAACACACATTTGTACAGTCAACTAGAATTTTTAGTTAAAGTAAGTATTAAGATATATTTGGAATTGGAATAGTGTATGGACACGTGCACGAAGTAAAGTCAAGTAGGAAAAAGTAGAATAAAAAGATATCCACACTCAATTTTGTATTTGTTAACTATCACACAGCGTCAACAAGATGTCTGGATACGATGACAGAACACGACAAATTTAAGGAAATCGGCATCGCTCAGTATTGTGATGGCACAGAAGATTGCAGGAGCGGGGCAGACGAAAGTCCGAGGAAATGTGGTAATCAAATAATCTCCAAGCAGATCAAACGGTGGCAAGGCAGGGGAGTGCCCATCAGCCACTGGGTTAAGCTACCTACCCGTGGGCCAGGGGAGTGTCCATCAGCCACCGACGAAAGATCGTCTGTGGCTAATGGACACTCCTCTCGCGAATGAATACCGCCTTGCCACCGTATTGTCTGGTTGGAAATTAGTTATCAAATTTTTTATGTACACACTTATTGGTTCTTAACTGTTCTTGATATGCTACAACATCGAGCTAAAAAAGAAATTGTAAACTAAATTATGTTTTTGTTTGTGTACAGCTATGTTTACCGAAACACATCCGTGTATCCGGTCCGATCGCTTTATTTCAAGAAACAGCTTCTGTGATAGCATACCGGATTGTGTGGATGCTTCAGACGAAGATGCCTGCATTGGTAAGCTAGTCTCATGATTTCTCAAGAACCATCTTTACCAGAAGGTAATGCTTTAGTAGCGATTATGTGTATGTATGTATGTATGTAGCATGTATATGTGTGTGGTATGTGGTTTAGCACGAAAACCCGAGAAGCCATGGATAGATTGTCATGAAACTTAGTAAGAGGGCAGGCATTGAGAAGATATTGAAATGATTACATTTGGGGCTTCAGATAGCTTAGCATTGCAGATACGTATATTCAGGTTTTTATATATCTTGATCTCTTGCCATTATGCTTCTGAGCTCTTGTGCTCGGGAAGAATTGTCATTAGTTTGCGGCCCTTAGCATATTGTTCTGGAACTGCAGGAGCGAACTGGATGACATATCGTAGTCATTTTAGTACGTAGGTAGCTTAACCCAGGATTCTTACCCAGGTTTTGATTAATGAGGAAGTGCTCCCATACAAACCAGTTTGAGTGATAAATTGACCCCATATAACGACATAAATAAATCATGAAGACGATAGGCTGTCTAGTCGTTAGGAACAAGGAAAAGGCAGTAAAATTTTAGTACATTCAAATATGTAAACTTTAAATGCATTATACACAGCTGAATTAGTTACGCGTCTGAAATATGGTTTGTAAATGGGGTGCATGCTTGCAGTCAGATAAACCAGAATAGACTAGCCAATGGCTCAGGCCAGAGCATGGCAAGCCGGTGCTGTTATTACTTTCTCTTCTGGAATAATGTTGAATCTAAACCCGCTAGAAGTAGACACGTGACCTTACTCACATCATGAGACTTTATTGATACGTGACGTCAACGATTCATCAAACGTGCCTGGGTGTTTACATCGTGTCTGTAATTTTTCAAGGTTTACGTTCGGAAGTGATTGGTCATCAATTATCCACAAGAAGCAGCCAGTGGTCGTTGAGGATTTTATCCTTGTGTACCATTTATGTTGGAATAAAGTTTAGCATTGTACTTATTACGCCCAGCAAAGATGAACTTCAGTGATAATAGTTTCCTTTGTTATGACAAGACTGTCATCGTATGATGAATATAATCAGCAGATATGATTTATGCAAATGAGTATTTTATTTGCATAATCAATGACAAACATTTGTAAATGGAGGCGGTATGATTGGTTGTAAATGTGTAACATATCCAAATATACATTTAAACCGTTGTCTATTTTGCTGGTCTATACCTGGATACAGGTATTTATTTTGTGATGGTGTTTCATTATGTTTTCCTATAGGGCGGGGAGGTTGTTTGCTGCCTTTGTCCTTACTTCTAGAGGAGTATTCAATCGAAAAGGGTGCCGGTGCAAGTGACGTCATCCACAGTAACCATGAGCTGACTCTGGTAGAATGGGTGGTTGAGGGGTTCGATGATTGGTTGCAGATTACTATGGGTGAACCTGTTCAACTCACCGGAGTAGAGTTTTCAGGTTCAAGGCTATCACATACTCTAACATTTACGTTGGAGCATGGTGTTTGGGCTGACTGTTTGACGGCGTATACGGAAGAAGACGGAGTAAAGGTATTTTAATGTCCCATTCAGAGGCATTTGTCGGGTGAAATTTGTTCAGGTGATACATGTACGTGATATCCCTGACAACTGGTACATTGATGAGTGTAAAGATCGCGGCAATTTTCCACGGAGCGTCACATATTATTAGCTTTTTTGAATTTGCTCTTTAGAAGCTAGTTAACACATTTAACTACATTCGGTTAGTTTGTACTTTCCATTAAATGCCTTTAATTAATAAATAACTATATAGATCGCTGCACAGTAAGTACAGATATTGGATGTTCAGGTGCAAAAAATGCTTGTATTGAAAGTATGATATGGAATATGCTTTCCTGGTTTAGATATTCCAAACGCTCAACAATGGTGCTGGACAAAGTAAGCATTACCTGGCCATACCGGTGCAGGCCAGGGTGGTCAGGCTTACGCCTCAATCAGACGCCTGGGTGGACAGAGCTATCTGGGAAGTAGGACTTTTGGGATGTCCTATAAAAGGTAAGATTAATATCTTACGCGGTCACAGTCAATACATGCAATATTTTTAAGTATTTTGTTGTATTTTCAAGCTGGCTGTGACAAAACCGACCACCACCAAAAATCTCAAAAGGTTTCTCCGGAACACGCCTATACCGAGTTTCTTAGCCCTTAGTGTCTAATCGTCCAACGATCGTATAGCGTATGGAATTTGTTCCTAATTGTAATTTTTGCGATTCATATATTTAGGGTCAGATACTTTGTCACATTATAAAACTGCTATTTTAAATGAGTATGAGATTTTTCATTTGTGTTTCCTTTGTTGTTAATTAACAACTACCAACACTTTTAAAAAGGACACCTGTGTTCGTAAAAGTCATTCTGAAGCAAGTTCAAACTGTCATTTCCAACAAAAGAAATCTGACTTTTCGACTGAGCAACTCCAGTCTCTGTTAAGGGATCTTTTCTGCTCCATACCTCCAAACAATATTTAGCATTGGATAAACATTTGGCGGACTGCATATCATTATGGCTTCACCACGCCACGACGTGGTGTAGTGAAACATATTGTGTTCTCTCATGTTTCTTCTCCTTCTCCTCCTACTGTCATTTCATTAAATGGATTCAATTTCATTATTTCACCAAATCTTCAACGACCAAATAACATGAAATTTGGCATGAAGGTAGAGTGAACAAATACCCCCCAGGCATTTTCTTCTTCATTTTTTTTGGATACAGGCTTTTTGGTCATTTTTTGAACAAAATCTGTACATTTGGGGTCCTGGAGACCTAGTATTGCACCCAAATCATCTGAAATTTGCTATGGGTTTGGTTTATATATCTACCAACAACACCTCATTATATCTTACGGCATACTATCGTGAATAATTTGGGACTTTTTGACTGTTTTCATGTCACAATTTACAGTATAGTAGGGGTTAATCATAGTGGCAAGCAGAGCAAGAGCCAATAGGCATGCATCTTTCCTCTATTCTTGTTGCTGATTGGCTGTTAGGATTTAATCGGGTTATCTGCATTAAGGGGGCACACCCCAGTTTATTTGGCGTCTCTATTCGAAGCTGCACACCCTCAAATCTAGCGACCGTCTCTGGCGTGGAATAATTCGGAAGGAGAATAACTGTATATGGGACGAAAGGATATCTCTTCAGCTACAAGACCAGCTGAGTTTGGTTTCTTCAACCTTTTTAAGTTTGGTTAAATCGACGGAAAAAACATTATTTTCACTCCAAAATTAATGCCCAAAATTGCGAATTTTTGCGTAGGATACTCCCATTTTCCAGCAGAAATGACTGATGCTGGCAGAAAGACCCAAGCCTTGACTATACCCGAGTAAATTATAAAGAAAATTCTAGTACTGTAATTTTCTAAACAGTCCACGGCGCGAGGGGTTGTAAATCCACCCCTACGAAGCCGCAGAGCTAGGTCTAACGGGCAGATTACACTTGGTGCGCAGGGATACCCGGAAGTAAGGTTCGGAGCCAAAAGAAATTTTCACCCCAAAATCACAATTTCTTACACTCTTCAGCCATGTTAATGTTTAATGATACTTCGTGGCAGTTTTTGAGAAATGTCACCTCAAACTTGGACCCTCAAAACCCTTTCGTCACTTTTTTTTACAACGGACTATCACGGAAGAACTGTTCGCGCAAGAACTGGGGTGTGCACCGTTAACACCTGCACTAAGCCATACCATATCGACAGTATGAACTGCATTCAAGTGGTTTGTCAAGTGTAGGTATGCGTAGGTAGGAATGCGGGGCATAAACGCTTTTTTATCTTGAAATTCCACAGTTTGCATTATGCAAATAAAAATCCCATCCAATAATGTAGGAGATAGCTATCCAACTGTTGCATTCTTAGTTATATGTCACTTCATACTATAGTTATATTAATGTAAAGCATTGTTTTCCCTTGTGTTTCCCCTTCTTTCCCTGCCATGTCGTAAAATGGATTTGGGGCCAAAAGACCTGACATTTTCAGAAGGCGTTGGAGGATTTTATTGCTGAATAGAGACTGTTGGAACACTTCACATTTTGGACTGGGGTGATTTAAGAACAATCTATTTGTGCGAGAGGGGGGGAGGCCATTTTTTTTGTATGGGGATGTGGTGAAGCCATCTGCTGCATTTTCTCCAAAGCAAAATGTCGGCCTTTCTAGTATTTATAATATTTTCTAATATTGTTAAACATTTATACTATTTTTCTTGATTTTAGACCATCGTGAAAATGACAGATCGTGTGGTAAAAGTTGGACGATGTTTGAAGAACGCTGTTATCAGAAGTTTTCCTCCCCGCTTGTGTGGCGGGCTGCGGACAGGTACTGCCAGGCTCTGGGTGGTCATCTGGCGGCCGTCAACTCGCCACGGGAGAACGGCTTTCTCCGGGGCAGCATTGGGAGTGGGTGGATCGGGATGATGCTGGATGCTGTCTTGATCAAGAATGTAAGCCAGGTATCTTCAACCAAACTTTGGTCTGTTTTTTAAAGCTCGCCGGTGCCGATTTACTGGTACAGCTGGTTTGGTGGCTTGAGTGCGATGACGATGCCTGACTCAAACAATTGGTCACCTTGGTGACTTGAATTAGACTAATGCTATATACAATACGACTGGGCTTGGATGCAGAATTACAATTCATCATAAGCTCTTTCTAACAGCGCTTACGTGTGGGAAAGAATTGCATCTATATGCATCTAGTTTCATTTGGCCAGTTGTACTGCACCAACCCCACCCCGACCCCCTCATTTCTGCTGTCTTTTATCATACAGTAATGTATCCGACATCCAAATACCCGACGTGATTCTCGTTCACTTGGAACCAGGCGTTCACTTGAAACTGCAAATATCGAATAGTATGCTATTGGCAAATACTTTTCATTGCATAACTTAATACTAGAGTTCCCCGATCTCACACCTTCGCCAAATGATGTTAATCTTTATGACTGACAAAGTTTAGATTAGATTATTCCCCCCTGATTTAAGAAATAGGAACCTAATTTTCATGAATTATATCATTTTATCATAATCTCAACCAAAAGACAGTCTTGTATTAACAAAGAATGCATTCTAGCATTTCCTAATAAATTGTGGAAATGAGGTCCTGATTTGAATAAATTATGTTTAATGATGTTCACCTCAATTTAACTTTCAAATACCACAAGTATGAAATTCCAGGCAGTTATCATTACATAATTATAAAATTTTCTTATCAATTATGCAAATTAAGTCATTATTAACATAATCAACATCTTCCTGTGTTTCTCTCGTTGTCAATTACCAATGTCACAAGCTTCAATTGTCCTATCATGGAATGCAGCTGATTTATAGAATTTCCCCATAAATTATGCAAATTACATCCATATTTGCATAATTGTCACATAATTATATTAAGCATCACGTAAGCTACCTACATATCAAAAATCACAACGATCCGTCAACCGGTTCTTGAGTTATCCTCTTTTGAATATTTTCAAGAATTTATCCCTGCAGTTCCAGAGCAAGCCGCTAGGGGGCCTAAACTCACGTCACTTCTTTCCCAGCACAAGAGCTACCTACCATCCGAATTTCATCACCATATCATGTCTAAATCATGAGATATCAAAACCGGAAGTTCAGCTGCAGTACCAAAACAAGCCGCTAGGGGGTCCAAAATCTAATCATTTTGAGGTCTCATCAAGACCTACCCACCTACCAAGTATCAAGACAATCCATCAAGGCCTTCTCAAGTTATCGTGTTTACAGACAGACAGACAGACAGACACACACACACACACACACACACATACACGAACGCCCCTGAAAACATAACCTTCTTGGCGAAGGTAATTACTTCCTTGTAACTAAACATATATGTCCTATTCATTGACGCAGTCAGTCAACTATTTTATATTCAACTTTTGACGGTACATTGATAGGAATATTGATGGAGACCCAGACGCGCCGCGGGCAGTATGTGGGGGGATTCAGGAAATGGTGTAATAAACAATTTATACAAATACAGTCACTTCAACAGTTCCAACACGAACACTGGACGTTTTCGTGAGTATGGAATTTCCGTTTTTTTCCCACCAGAATACTGTCAACTTTACTTGGAGCGACGGAAGTCCTGTGGGTGGCGCTTTCCAGGAACAAGACATTTCATTCGATGGTTTCCAGGAATACATACGGAGACTGAATGATCCCTTCTGTGCCTTTCTAGAAAATCACGGTTCGTTTTGAAATCCACGTTTATGTAATACGCATAACAAGTTTATAACCCATCTAGAATCATGCTTTGATAGTGGATTTTCTTTGTTTTTCATCCGCATATTGATGAATATCATGTTATCATATGATGTTATCAACTTAATGTTATGAAACTTCTGTAGGTCCGTGGAGTCTTCAGCCTTGCAGTCTGATTGAGAAAGAGTTCATCTGCGAGAAAGGTTTGAAATCGTCCATTGTCAACTTTTTCTAGGAAGAAAAAGGATAAATCTTTCATTTTGTCGAAGTAAGAGGATCTTTAAAAACATTACTTTCTCGCGATATGTGATCATGATTACTTGAAAGATACCACGATGTAATCGTGATATTTTGATCAGACTACACCGATCTTTTAGTTCATGGGTTCGCACGCTTCGTTTCTCCGATATAAAAAAACATTTAAGTCTCTAAATTAGCACCAAAATGCTCACATTTGTTGAAAGGAGTTCCTTGGCTTTAGAGTTGTTACAGTTTTTCCAGCTAACAGTGCAGTAGTATATGCTTAGGCCTGTTTTTTTTCTCGTCCTGACCAAGACTGTGCTCAACAGAAATATGTGCATTCATCTGACACTCCAAATGTCAATGATATTTGTTTTCTACCATTTATAGATCCGTCATCATATCGTAGCGATGAGTGTACAACCGCAGCGAACTACAACAATACTGACTTACACAACATGGAAGAATCTGACAGGGCCGAACCAAACGTACATATTCCGGACATGACAGGTATCTACAGCAACAGCGCTATCTGTTTAACGTTATGCTTTTACCTGTTCCGACCAATCCATGGCCTAGAAAAGGTTACCCTATGCGCTCGGCACGCTCATTCGATAATTATTACGTATAGGTGTTCGAAAGACGAAGGTCACGGTCACTTTGGCCCTCCTTTGTCATTTTGTTTTCTTATTCTTCTTTAGTGTGCGACAATTGCATGGCCAATAAGGCTGTGTGTGGCAACATCCGATGTGGCAGCCCTGACCAGTACCGCTGTGGACTGATCTACTCTCCCGGGTACCCAGCCGCCTTCCCTCCGTCAGTCCTCTGCCTGTGGACCATCGATGGTCCTCCTGGAAGTTTCGTCACGCTTCTGCTGCTAGACGTTGATTTGCCGGGATACTCGAATGGGGCCTGCACAAGTCGTGTGCTGCAGGTCAGGGACAGGTTCCTGGCGGTAAGGTGGAACACGATTCATGGACTTTGTCGCGGCGAGGGTGAACAGAAGCGCTACGTGTCGAGCTCGAATGACATGCAGTTGGCCATGTTGGCGACGAGCAATGATGCTTTTCTCGGCGACAGCCGCGGGTTTATGGCGACGTTTAACATCAGTACCTTCAGTTCCAGCCGCCAAGTGCAGAACCTACCTGATGATGCAGGTAAAAATACACCTTATAACTAAAAAAAAACTGGTCATATATAACGTTACCTGGTTGTCTTACTGTGACTGACAGGGAGAGAAAAATTATTATATATAGTTTTCATGATCAGTTGCCGAAGCCGTAGCCTGACTAAATCTGCGCTCCTAGCGGCCGGCCCGGTATTACACCAGCCGCCCCAGGCTAGGTGCTTCCGGGTCCAGAAACTTCTCTCTCCAATCCAATTTATCCATCATGACATTCGCCAGATATTCCTGATGTAGTCCTACATCGATATCATCCGCCAGTTGGTCTATGTCCGGCGGTAGACCATGACCAGGGTTAGCATTTCATTGTTCTGGTTCCCACTGGACCAGTTTCTAGTTTTCAACATTTTCTGTTTTGCTTCACATCCTATAGGAATCGTGTGCCCGTGTGGCTGGCACTTGTTCCGCCGGAACTGTTTTCAGACCTTCCGACATACTTCGCCTGTGACCTGGGAGGAGTCGGACGCCAAGTGCCGAGAATTTGGTGCCAACTTAACCAGCGTGGCTGACCAGGCGGAAATGGAATTCCTCCACATTCTTTTGGTCACAAACGTGGTCATCAAACGCATCACTGATCCGATGCTTTTCATCGGTATGACACGAAATATCTTTATCAAATCTTTCTTTATTTGCATGTTTATGCCAATGTTGCAAAATGCACAACGATAATACTACTGCATATTGAGTAATAGTTAACAGCACGAGGCAAAAGTCATAGGTAGCCTATAAAGTACAGTCTATCTAATCTAAGTTGTCAAGATTTCTTCTTTCCTTTTTAAACAATGACAATGAAGTTTATTGCATATTCATGCTCCAGTGTGGCAAATTGACTCTTAAACATTTAAACAGTAGGAGATGATGAACCTGATGTAGAGTATGGACCACTAATAGATTATGAACCTTTGCATATACTATGCAGAGTAAAGGATGTGTGAAATTTCATTCTCAGATGAAAAGAGAATACATATGAAAAACATAAAACTAAAGATTAACTTTCATATTTACAAATATCTACAAATATTGAATGACGGGTGATATTTTTTACACTCAAAAGGTCTGCACGATGTTTCTCAAAACCGATCCTTCGTCTGGACCGATGGCACTCCGGTCACGTACACGGACTGGTGAGTGTCTCCTGTTAACCAGGAACAAATCAAGCAGTGAATTGTGATTATTCACATTACATCTGCTTTTAAAGGCATCCAATGCAACTTCAGAGCTGTAAAACTGTATTTTTTATTCATATTCATACAAAAATAAACAGACATAAATAAAGCCTCCCAAACGTTCCATTCAAATGAATACAAAATAAATTAATAAGAAAATCAGACAAAACAAAAACTCAAGCCTTTTAAGGCTAGCCCCCACTTGCCCCGATGTTTCTGCAGTTTCCCCCTCCGAGACGCAATGAGATGTTCCAACTTGTGATAAAAGAATACTAACTTTATGAAGGACTGGGAATTTAACCTTTTTCATGCTCGCGACTGAAATCTAAAGAGTTTTCCTAGCAAAAATATAATATTTTTTAATGGTAATTCATTGGTGGATAAGTCTCCCAAAATGACTGTAAAAGAGGGTATTTGAAGATCTAACGCAATTTTCCTGAGTTAACCAATCTTGCACTTCCCTTAAAAAAGCGACAACATGAATATAGTTATAGAAAACATGAACATAACTTTCTACTTCACTGTTACAAAATGAACATAAATCAGATTCGACCAAATTCCAAATTCGAAGCATTTTGTTACAAGGTAAATATTATACAACAAATGATATTGAAAATATATTTTAAGATATTTTCAATATCGTTGTATAAATATTTAAAAGCTAGGATCAATTGTCGTTTTGATAAGGCTTATCAACACTGTTTGCCATGGTATAGGTGTATCAAAGTAATCTAACCAGGATAATCTAATTTTTGTGCTACTATTGCTTTATTCATAGATAAAAGAAGGAACTTATAGATGGCTTTGTTAAACTTAACTTTTCTTAACCAATTATAATTCTTTTGAACCCGTGCTAAACGTTTTGATTCGATGGAATAGAGGCAGTAAGCTGATGATATCTTAATTCATTACAAGTATCTGTGAACACTAAACAAAAGTCGTGGAAACGCATCAGGTGTCCCTCTTCTGATAATAAATCATTGATGAAAATAATTTGATAATCTGATGTCGCACACTAGCTGGCGTTTCGGGTTCTGTATATTGAAATTTATAGCAGCTAATGCCTCCGAAGCAGCTAATGCCTCCGAAGTAGAGTCTTTTAAATTAAGAGAAGTCACTGAAGTCAGTTGAAGGAAGCGTAGTAACTGCAGACTTAAACCTCTTATCATCTTGATAGAGGTGATATCACAACTATCATCTTGGATGAAAACCATTCAAAGTGAAAATATAATTTCGGAATCCACGAAGGTTTTAAAGTCTGATCAAATACTCGTAAATTAATCAAATTTAACCCACCATTCTCCGTTGAATTATAAAGTACTTTCCTGGCCACTGATTCTTAACCATCTTCCTAAAAAAACAGAAAATCTGTTTTTTTAAAGCTTTTTAACAATTGAATCGTTTGAAGACGGTAAGGTCTGAAATACGATGGTAAATCATGGGGCTACTGAAGTATTAACTACAGTTATTTTGCCATACAGCGATAATGTCTTACCTTTCCATGGGCGTAATATTCGATCTATCCTATCTAATTTCGGGTCGATATTTGCTTCAACAATGGAATTCATATCAACAGGAATGTGAACACCTCTCCAGCTACCCACTGTACCAGTGCATGTGTACCATCCAAATTTCGAAAACTTTAAGGAACTGATTCGTAAAATCTTGCATTTTTCTGCATTTAGCTCAAGTCCTGAAATAGTTGAAAAGTTGTCCATATCGGTTAACAAAGCGTAAAATGATTCTAGATTTGGTGTCATGAGAGCATTAGCATCGTCTGCGTATTATAACACTTTGGTGGATTTTTTATACACCTGTAACCCTCTAATAGACTGATTGGATCGCACCTTTATCGCAAGAACTTCAGCAGCTAGAATGAACAAATATAGGGATAAGGAACAGCCTTGACGAACACCGCGACTTATCCCTTTAACGGCTGTATAAAACCTTTACTCATGCTATCAATTCTGGACCAAATCTAAAAAATTCTCAACACCTGAACAAGAAATCCCACCTTGAAGTATCAAAAGCTTTTCTAAAATCAGCTGTGAATATTAATCCCGGTTTATATTTTTAATCGTAGTAATCTATAGTGTCGATCAGTCTCCTTATGTTTTCCCTATGTACCTATTCTTAATAAAATCGGTTTGGTCTTGATCAATGATATCTGCAATAACGTGTTCAAAATTGGATTTTTAAAGTAATTTTTAGTCATCGTTCTGAGGTAGTAAGTTGACCATATCCAATAGCACACTGATACCCTTTGAAGCAAAAATGCGATGTCACTGACTCTGAAATTGGTTCCTTGTTTCATATTCTAGGCTCGGTAACCCTTTCTAGCTGTCCATGGCATAACATAAGTTGTGTCCAAAATAAATAGGCCTCCTTGCGTGGCTTGTATTTCAAACAATAGTATGGAATGATAACAAAAACGTAGTAAGAAATGGCAGTAACATATATATCAAAATATCAGAGATTTTCGCATTCAGAATATATTTTTTTGTTTTACCGCCCTAAAAATGCAGTGGAAGTTTAAACCTGTCGCCTCGTTAAAGACATCAGAAAATCTTACACACTAATATCGTTTTAGAAAGACGTGCATATAATCTTGCTTCGTACACATGTAACGTTTACATGTACACATCTTTGCCCTGGTAAAAGGTGTATTTAGGTGCATTTATAAATACATAACCAGCATTGCCCTGTGTACCATAAATACAGTATTGTAACAGTTCTTTCCAACACATCTGAGGTCACCCATGGATATCAGAACCGGGTTCCCACAACCGGACGGCGCCAAGATCAACTTCTGCGTTGCCATAGTGATGAAGAACGTCTGGGGAACTGACCAATGGTACGACGTCGCCTGCGATGACCGAGCCACGAGGTCCTACATCTGCAAGCAGGCGGCAAACCGAGTCAACCGTCCGGGAGATAATACCTAAATGCCCTGTCAGACATTCACGAATTTGCCCTCCCGAATCAGCACGTCGGCAGAACGTACTGCGCCTGCGCAGAACCCTACATTTTCACGCTTTTCGGTGGATTTTTAGTCAACGTTGCATTGGAATTTTGCCTGTTGCAGAGGATATCTTTTCCAACATAACATTTGGAAACTACAGACGAGATGTTAACCTTATATGCAAGAATACGACCTTATATGAGACGTTCTGCAGAAGTGCTATGTATAATACACTACGGGTTTCGAGCAGGTGCAGTACGTTCTGCCGACGTCCTTCCCGAACCCCACCCCAAACATACTTAGAATTTCAGTTCAGTTCATCCTTCTGCTGACACCATGTACTGTCTTCACAAGTTCCTGTCCTGCATGGCCGAGGACAGTTCAACACTGCCCAGACCTTCAGAGTTAAAGAAGGGCGACGTTCTGGGGTTCATCGTGAGGTTTGGACATGGTTAACTGGTATTGGGCCGAAAGTTGGGAAAACCCCAAGCAACTAGAATCAGGAGTAGGTTGGCAGTTTTCAGGGTGTGTTCGGGGTCATATTTGACTCAAATTTAACTCAAATTCATTTAGATTTGTAAATAAAGGTAGGCATGGCCTAATGCTGACTGCTCTCGAATGTCAGTCGAACGTGGTCGGCTGGTGTTCGGGTGCAAGGTCAGAATGTGTGACATGAATGTGTGGCGTTAACTTGGCTGCCGTTTATGCTTATTTCTTGGTGACCTTTCTAATGCAGAGATTTGGTTCACTTATTATGGCTCTGTTATTTAACCAAGTTTAAGGATTCACATCACAATAAGGGCAGGGAGGTTCAATCATCTTGTCATAGGGTACAGTGTTTGCAAAAATATCATTTAGACTTTAAATGCGATACTCAGATTTTCTTAGACTTCCTTCTAGACTTACACTAAGACATTATAACAATTTTAATGTGCTAAGAGTATTGGGCATCCTTCAACAATCTTGAGAATTAAGGTCCCTTTATATGTGATATTATATAATGTGTACAGAGATTGGCCTTATTGAAGGCTAGAATCATTTGCATGGGGCCTCAATAGTAATATCATGATATATACAGAGACAGCAAGAGATATGTTCATGTTTCTGGATATAGAGATAGGGGTAAATAGCTACAGAGGGACTATTTACGCTATAGTATTTAGGTAAGTTTATTGATGTTACAGCGCATTACAACAATCTATGCATCTCATTAGTTTCTTACCGTTTCTGTTCGATGAAGTTGGGTTTTTGTCGTATTTTCGACTCGGGAAAATGTCTTCAATGCGTCATTAAAATTTCGGATGTTTCCTTGTGCTCATTAATTATTTCCCAAATGTATTCCACGTGCTCAGCTTTAGTACTAGCCTTTAATTCTTTCAAGTTGGCATTTTTTATGAAAACAAGGGAGGCCCTTCAATGAGCGAAACAATTTTGCCAAATATGCTTAAATTTCACAGGACAAAACCGGGATAATTAATTTGAGAACATAATGGAATGCCACGTTGTTATACGAGTACTACGTTATAGCTAAAACTGAACACAATCCAACAAATGTACGTTTGAAACTACATTCTGCATCATCTTAGAGATGCAAAATTTCCGTGACTGTTAAAGAATCTTTCCCTCCGCGCTCCTCTTTAGCTTGGAATCAAGCTGCAGCTGACTCGAATGTGCGACTGGCGCCATCAATTATTGATGAAGGTCAACATAATATGCCTTTGACTATAGTTATAGTGATATCGAAGGGCGGTTATACCGGCTATACTGATACAGATATGAAACTTTATTGCATATTTCCTGTCCAGATGGACTAAATGCACATGTGACCGTATGTGGTATAGGGCATGTTAGACATTATATAGTTATAATAACAGTTTTAAGTTTGTTGTAGTTTTCATATACATGGAGATTTATATATATATTTGTATAAGAGCTTACCATAAATTTTAAAACGCGTCAAGCTTCGCGATCGTCAGAGCCCGTCGACCGTTTCTAAACCTACCAACCATCATGAGATCGCCCTCTTGGGCCTTCGTTGACGATTTGAATCTCATTGAATCAAGACGCACTTCTGAACCACCCAGACTACAGCACGATCTGGACGAACTGTCCACCTGTCCTAAGTGCAAAGCTATGCACATCTGCTTTGCCCGCAACCCCCGCACCACCGCCCCCTCTATCCATTAACGGACACGTGCTTGAGGTGGTGCCCATTGCAAAGTGCTTGGGAGTCACATTTCAAGTCAACCTGGGATGGGACAGTCAAGTCAGAGAAATGACACGTAAGGGGAACCAGCGCTTGTACTTGTTGGGCCGACTACGTCAGTTTAATCTACGGGTGGAGGATCTGCTTACGGTCTACAATTCGTTTGTTCGTCCGGTGGTTGAGTATGCCGCCCCGGTATGGCATGGGGGGTTAACACGTGACCAACGGAAAAAGATAGAGAACATACGTATATACAGAGGCGAGCGGCAAAGATAATGCTGAGAAGAAACTACCACGGGTATTCGTCAGCCTGCGAAGTGCTGCACTTACAAACACTTGATGACAGACGTTACACTCTCTGTCTGAAGTTTGCTAAGAAACTGCTCAACTCAGAAGAGTACCGTGGTTGGCTGCCCGAACTCAGAGGTGACGTCAGCGGTAGGGTAACAAGACAAAGAAACCAACTAGACCGATTGCCAGTACACACAGAGCGGTATAGAAACAGTCCTATCCCATTCTTAACTAGTCTGTTAAACAACAGCGTGTAGAAGAACCCTTCAATCCTTTATGTATTTGATTTTACTTGTTGTGACTAAGATGTATGTGACTGTGACCAGAATACCGTTACTGATTTTACTGCCTTAAGTTTTATTACTATAGATTTTAACTAATTGTATGTGATGATAATGGTTTTAGACAATAATACTAAGTTTTTTATCTTTGTATATGTACGAACACACAATTCAGCCCTGTGGGCTGCCAGCTGTTCAGCTGAAATAAACCAATTATAAACCAATTATAAACCGTGACTGTAAAATTTTCAAACGCGAACTAGGATCTAATACAGCCCTTTCCGCAATAAGACAGCTGAATGTTTCAGGACACATGGGGGTTAAAATCATCTTTATTTCAATATACAAATATATACAAGATGACTCGTTGAAGTACACCTAGGCCAGCCCTTTATCTCATTATAATTAAGGGGAGGGCGCAAGGTAAGTAAAATGTAACAAGTAAATGTGTGCATCGGACATTAAACTTTTCGATTAAAATTGTTTTCTACACATACATTTCATTTATACGTATACTTACAAAAATGTGTTATAGATCTTAAAGATTAAAAGAAAATAATCAAGCCTGTTGCATCAAATTTATCTTTTACAAGAGAATAGCCCTGAGGTACTTTCCCAACCCTGTGTGTTTCTAGCGCAATATATGGCATGAGATGCACAAAGTGCGCACTTCCCCAGTCTACTTTTAAGATGTCTGACTTCACGGTCCTTATGACTGACTAGGCAGAGTGACTTCAGCTTCGCAGTGTTCTCACTGTTAATCCATCCTCTACTTCCAACTTCAACTGTAACGAGTGTAGGTCTGTACCCACTATGACCCATAACTATGTCCCAAGAATGCTTTCGGCAGTTTGCGATCGTATAAAGATCGTGCGAGGATCGTAAGACAAATGATCCATGACTTTAACCAGGCCTCGAAATTAACTTTTCTTCCTATTGTCCCAGCACTGTCTCAAAAATAAGTTTCAACTGTCCCGAAGTGAGGATGAACTGTTCCAACCTGTTTTTTGTTGGCAGTATTGTATGACTATAACTTGAGGTCAACTTTATTTTGCTTATGTTCACTCCCAGGTGCACTATAATTGCAGAGTAGACGAGAAATTCGGGGGGACTTTCCCGGAGCCAAAAACTGCAACGTGTGCCTGATAATCAAAAGAAGGGCTGACATTCTGATGTTGATTATTTTTCTATTGTCACAAAAATGTCCGAAAGTGTCTTTTTAGTCGTTCCAGCCTAAATGTTAGTGGTCAGTGGCCACTGGACCGCCTTTAATTTCAAGCCCTGCCTTAACAGGTCATCTCCATCCAAAATCACCCAACCCGAACCTACCCACTCCGAGCAGGTATTCCAATCCTGTTGTCATAACTTTTTTATATGCCAACATTTCATGACTAGACAGGGTGACGGCACACTTAAGTTATATCAACTTATTTTATGCCACCACCAACGCAGAGGACGAATACAGGAAAATACATTTTCACTTGATTGAAGTGAGGAAAGCCGTGTAAAGTACACAAGGGCACTTGTGCCTTTCCCAAAGGCACAAGATTGGTGACATGTCAAGACTCGAACTCGGGACCTCTTGGTTCCGAGTCGAGCACTCTGTCGTTACGCCATGCGACCCCACCATCTCTATACACCATCTCTGGTGTTGTCATAACTCTAACCCCCTCTAACCCCACACAGGGACGAGTTACCTGCCTTTTCATACCGATCGTTAACCAGAAACAACTACAAACAACCCGGTCCTTGAAAACTCTGTGGACGACGCTTGTGCCTTTGTTCGAATTCGTATAACCGGTAAACTGACTTAAAGGCATCCCATCCATTGAAAGGCCATGTTGTGGACATTTTTTAATGTAGTAAGTTGATTCAAGCCTATCACATAGCATACTGATATTTGTGAAGCAAAAATGTGATGATACTGATGAAAAACGGTTGGTTGTTTTGTATCGTAGGCTCGATATATAGTAATTTTTGGGTGGTATCCAAAAATAAATATTTTGAGTCTATTTCAAACTCTTAAAGTATGAAATATTGACAATATGCTACGAAATGGTAGTAAATGTCAATACTAGAAAGATTGCCTTTTCCAGAATATTTTTGGCCGAATTTGGTGTTTTGTAAAATGTTCTGATTATATGACATGGGTTCTCAAGCTTGGGTTGCATGTAAAGATTGTTACACAACGAAAAAACAAGCAAATCAAATCTACCTCTAAGCCCCTACGAGTTTCAAATACACTATAAACCACAGAAAATAAGCTTCCCCACTTCATCAAGACGAAGCAGTGTATACAACTAAAGCCCGACTTATGTTGTAATGAGGGTTGTGGTTTAAGGTAAGTATTGTTACGCCGGATATGGTTAGTTTTACAAAGCCGTGGTGTTAGGTGTTGTCGTGCTGGGGGGATGAGTGGTAAGGCAGGTACCAGCATGACTTCCTGTCATCGTCCTTCAGCGAAGGCCACACCAGGTAATTTTTGAGGTCGTGTGGCGTAACGGCAAAGTGCTCGACTCTGAACCAAGAGGTCCCGGGTTCGAGTCCTGACATGCCACAGATCTTGTGCCCTTGTGAAAGGCACTTTACATGACTTTCCTCACTTAACTAAAGTAAAAATGAGTCCTGTCCTGTCCTGTATTTGTCCTCTGTGTTGGTGGATGCATAAAATAAGTTGATAGAACTTGAGTGAGTCGTCACCATGTCTAGTCATGAAATGTTAGAATAAAAAAAAAAATACATGTAAAACTACATGTACGTTTCTTTATCTCTTTACCTAGCTAAAGCTCGTTGCTATCTGCATACAGGCATAAATATAAATTTCTAACTGACGGATTTCAGTCTCGCGTGTTTTACGTGATTTCTCGCTTGACTTCCTTTCACAAATAAACTGGAGATAATCCCCCCCTCTGTTGTGCTTTCTTGCAGTATTTACATCACAATAGTCTACACAAAAAGTCAACATGTCATCGTCCTACAGCGCGCTGTGTGTAGTTCGTACGCAGTTTTTTTATTTATTGGTTTGGCTGGTACAAAACAGCCAGGGCAGCCCAACTAGCTTGAAGCTATTATTAAGGGCATGCCCTGGGAAAAAATGTGGTTAAATACATACATGTGACATAAATTCTTAAAAACGTCTTAGTTACATAGAGTCAACAAATTATGGTCATTAATATATACAGATTACATATAATACAATAAAATTATTACACACCGTAAGATTGGTGAAAGTAGAATACATGTGTGTACTGTCTTATACAGAAAACTGGTCTCCAAGGGAGAGCCATACTTTAGCTATAGCTAAAGCTGTCCGTGTGTCCTGTGGAAGAGAGGTCCACAGTTGGACGGACCTGTAGAAGAAGGTTTTTTGTGTTCTGACACTTTTGGGGGCTTGCGAAGAAAAGTTATTTGCGTTTGTAAGGGAATACCTAGATTCAATGGCAGATTGTACTACACATTGTCCTGTCGGGCTGCTGTCCTACGAATGTCCCCATTTCTGTGTGGCTAACCTCCAGCTCGTACGACCACTGACCGGAGCCTATAAGACAACACTCTTGTCGCAACAGTAATGCAACTTGAAATGTCACGTGGTCAAGAAATGTCACTGGACAAAGCGGCGGCTTTCAACGCGATATCGTCTGTCCTTGAATCCACAAGTAGCTTCACACGCCACCTTTTCCCTGTGATCCTTACGATTACTGGTCTTAAGTATCTTCTGGTCTCAAGTATCTTGAGTTCATAGTCTTAGGAGGCCGACGAAATGCCTATAAGACTTCTCATTTTCAACTTTTTGACACTCGTTTAAGACTTAATCATAACATAAGAAACTAAGAAAAACCTTCTTTCATAGAGATATTAATCTGTTTAAGTTTTCGTTTTTTACAAAAGTCGTTTGGTGTAAAAGTTTTGTCAAGGTATTACCTACAACTACTTGAGAAACATTGAATTATGCATGAGAAACTAAAAATATAACTCCTTACGCGTGTGTTAAAAAAACTGGGAACACCTTACTACAACACTACAAGTCAACGTGTCGGTACAGTATTCATGCACGTCAGAATTGGGTGTGTTCTTGTCTTGTGTTGTGTCTTTTTGTGTTTTTCCTTCTGATCTAGTCTCCTGTGCAGGCTTTCTAGCGGACAGCGTTTATTATTCTTTTTACAAGCGCACTTTTTTTCAGGTGGGTGGATACAATTGCCTTCACTTATTTGAATTTATTGAATATTTGGACATACGTTTTGCCTTAAAAAGTTAGAAATTACAAAACAAATTAAGTATTTTCATGCAACCTTTAGGTCGGTTTGGCGAGTTATACCACGGACCTATCTCCAGCTGGTTTCCCTGTATCCGCTGACTTCCTGTATTACGCTCAGTCCTGGTTGGCGGCCCCAAACGCTCTCGGCGCCGAAGGGATAGCGCTGACCTCACGGCGGCCTGCTTACCAGGCTAAGCCTGCACAGGAGGCTACAACTGAACCAAGCTTCCGTTCGACACTGTGACATACCCGCACCTGTAATTTGACCCCCAATTTCCATACCCAACCAAGCATAACCCACTCTTTAAATATACCCGCCCAACCTACGTGTTAGTAGTAGTGGTGTCACGCGAAAAGACGCATCATGACTACCGTAGCGCGGTCACTCCTTCTGGCGGCGGTGCTCGCTCTCAGCCCCGCCGCCCAGGCTAGCGAGGCATCGGTGGTTCTCGACTTCGAGAAGAAGCTTGACAAACCAGTGGAAGTGGTAGAAATGCTGGAGGAAGAAGCGGCGAAGAAGAAGAAAGAAGAAGATATTCTCAGGGAAAATTCCGTCTTGGATCAAGACTGGTCGGAACACATTGTGGAGAAAGCAATAATGAAGGTACGTACCAGTTTGGTCTAAATCATGAACCCTTTGAAAACTATTTCAGTGACTGTGTGATTTCGCCTGATAGACAGGTACATGTACCATATGTTGATCCAGATTACTTAGTTACCATCGTATGCAATAGAAAGGTATTTTCTACAGGATGTAACAAATGCTTTGTTTGCTATTCCCACGTTCATAACACCGCTTCCTCTGTATCGTAACTTTTTCCAAGAACGTTCAAGTTGAGTGAGCAACAATATGCCGCGACTCGAACTTTGAACCAGCCTGGGTGTCATTCGTTTTGCATTGTAAACGGCGCTCCTTACACTCACTAAGTCGTTTATTTCTCGGGTTAAGAAAAAGCGGCTGGCTCCCAGGCAAACTCAAGTCTGCAGGCACACTGGACTCTCTATGGCCGGTGTCACAGTGATCTCGCCCCCAGCGACTTCGCCCTCCAGTGGGGGTGAGATCGCTAGCGATTCGCCCCGCCTCCGTAGATCTCGCCCCCCCTCTCGCCCCTTAGTTAGTCTACTCTTTTACACCGTACCACAGGTATGGTAGGTACACAGATATATGTATGCCCTTGGGAAAGGCACCTTACACTACTTTCCTCACTTCAAGTTCTAGGCTTGTCTTCTTAATTTTGTCCTCTGCGTAGGTGGTGACATAAAATAAGTTGGAAAAAAGTGTGCCGTCAGCATGCGTCTCTAACCCCCTGACCACCCACTGTGTTATTCGTAACATTCAGGAATACTGAGGTACTCCAGGTTATGTTTGGAATGTTTCTGGTAGTATAGTAGCCTGGTATCCAGTCTATCGCGGTTGGATCGGGGCTGCAGGGGCTCTTCTCCGCCCGCCTCAGCTAGGTTCTCCCGGTAGCTTGCAAGACGGGAGATTGATTAGCCCACCACGATCAACTCCCGGCGTGTGAAACTTACAAGCGTAACTCCTACCGGGCGGTCTGCTGAGCTGGACGGGGGAAAACTATCAGAGCCCCGAAGACAGCCTGCCCCAACCACGATAGACTGGATACCAGGCTTGTACGACTATGAAGACGTCACAAACCGGTTTCTACCCTCTGTCTGGTGTTCACGGTTGTCTTGTAACACACAATGCGAGATAAACTACCGCAAATCCTTAGATATTACTCTCCAAACAAAGGTTTAGGCTTTGGCTTATTTTTGACGTCTTGTAGGCATTTTTATCAGGTTTTCCTTTTTAAAATCAACCTTTTTTTGCCAGGCAAACTTTACGGTGGCGTGTTGGATACTGTATATTTGATTTAAATTGTTTATTGCAAATTCATGCCCGATGGCTAGTTACAAGTACAGAGGCAACATTTGGTATAATAACAGGCAATTAATACACAGAGAACTACTGATAACTCATGAACATTACTAGGTTTGGCTTCTTTTTTTAATACAGAGGAAGACAAAAGATCCCACTTTTTCTTTAATCTGTGGCTTTTCGGTTGTTTTTTCGGAAAGTATATTTAATACTCCCCGGCCGATTTGATACTGCCATTGATACCGTCTTGTAGCCACAGAAAGATCTGTGGGATTATTCAATATCACAACAGTCGAGTGTCACCTAAGCACGTGCCTTATCTGGACAATCTAGAAAAAGCTCTCTTTGGTTTTACCACAATATCCTAAGGCCATGTTGGTTTGATTAAATGGATGACATCGCCGGGAACCTGATGCGAGCGTGCGAATAAAAAGAAGTTTGCCCCCCCCCCCCAAAAAAAAAACACTTTCCTTCATTATGGAATCTAGGTGGTTGTGAAGGTTGAACAAATGACACAAACACACAGAGTAATATTAGTGAATAATAGACTCTTCATTTTTATTCCTTCACATTTTCTTCTTGTCCTTTGGAATGGATTTTGGCATTCTGAGACGTAAGTATCGCTTTCCAGTATTTTTTCCAATTTACGGTATATATTTTCTCATTTCGGAACTGTTTTGTACGATTCACAGTAGGGTTGAAAAATTATTTTTTGGAAACGGACGAAAATCCTTGCGCGCGGGGATGTCATCCATACAATCAAATCAACATGGCCGTAGGGAAAAATTTGTTTGGTGAGTCAGACTACATTATAGGTGGAGAGGATGTCTGTGTCACGACAGGACTTTGTAGTGTAAACAAAACTCATGAGGAGTAAGATGGGTCAAGGTCAAATAGACGTACTTCATACAAACAATCAGTAGAAGTTTCATTCTACATCGATCTTACTTATAGGTAAACCAGAACAGAAGACTCTATCTTAATACGGATACTTCGATGAACATATTCTGTTGGTGGATCTCGGAGAAGCAGTGCCAAATACACGTAATGTCATGATATTACTAGGTAAAGTGTACATTTTCATAAACCGCCAGTCCTCAATTATTTCTCTTTATAAATTTGTTTCCCTTCTTCCAACCATTTCAGATCCAAAGCCATTCCACGAAAAAAAAATTTAACCAGTCAATACAGAAATTGAGGGAGCTATCAATTACATTGAATTGATAGTATGTAATATGTAATTTAGTGTGTGTGTGTTGTCTTATATTACTGTTGTCTTTGTTTATTTCTGTTGTTTTGTCGAATAAAGATTAAAGGCATCCAATGCAATTTCAGGCCAGCAAAGCTGAAAAAACCTGAATAAGGCGATCTTCACATTTAGCACATTTAATTCAGCATTTCATACATTTGGCAGTCAAAACTGCAGAAACAAGCCACAAGATGTGTCCTTTATTTTCTGGGTGGTACCCTAAAAATCAGCCTAGGGCCCTTCCATTAACCGTTTTCCGTCAGAATTTTGGGAATTTTTGCTCCTAGAGGATCACTATACATTGAGATACTGTGACTAGAATATTGGCTGTGTAAAATCGGGTTTCCGAGCCGTAAAAACTGCATTGGATGCCTTAAAACATTCGTTTTATATAGCATTGGTTGAACTCAGCGATGTTTTTGTTGATTGTAGGTTCTGAAGGAACTGAAACAGGACAGCAGTGCTCGTCAAGAAACGCGCGGTAGGGATTACTTAGTAGTCTTAAATTGCAGAATTTTAACTAAACGGTAACATTTGCTAAGCAAATATATAATGTTTACTTTCGCATGTGGTCTGCTCTGTTAATTCTTACTGAAACACATTCATATATATTGTCAGACAGAAGTCTAAATCCCTCCTGCTATAAAATTGCAACATGATGTAACCCAACACTAGTTGTCTTGGTGGCAGACGGTCTGGTTCAGGTCATTGACCTTTTTGGTTTGGAGAAGAAGAAGAGGAAGCGTAGCAAAAACAACATGTTTTCTTTCGGTAAACATGAATATATACATTATACATACTTAAAACGTAAGAATCAATTCAGCAAAAGCCATCACTGTGCCATACTTATTAGCTGTAGATTGCCCGGATGCTGACCCGACCTTGATCCCGTGGAACCCTGGCCATAACGAGGCTGCGCAGGTGGTTGTGGGAAGGGGAGAGAACTACCTGCTCCAATCCTCAGCCTCGTTCCACTCACTGCAAATCAAAGATGGAGGTACGACTAACTACATGTTCAATCTGTATCTACATTAACCTATAAGCTAATTCACAACAGTCCATGAACAAGTAATACCTGTACTAACAAGAGATCGTTCTAGGTTTCGTTGATGTATTGGAACTATGAAGGGTATTACAGTTACACACAGTCAACCACTCCCTCCCCCACACACTTACTCTGTGCAAAGTGCGTGCTGGATTACCTTCAGACTTAACCTCCTTGTCAATCAATCAATCAATCAATCGATTGATCAATAAATCAATAAATCGATCAATCAATGTGGAGTCGTGTGACGTAACGGCAGAGTGCTCGACTTGATCGGAACCAAGAGGTCCCGGGTTCGAGTCCTGACATGCCACCGATCTTTTGCCGTTGGGAAAGGCACTTAACACGACTTTCCTCTCTTCGCTCAGGTAAAAATGAGTATTATATTGTCCCCTGTGTTGATGCCGTCATCACGTCTTATAATTACATTACATCTTGGAATATAAAAAAATCAAGTTACCAATTTTAATTAAAAGGCCAAATATCCATCCACTCTGCCTACAACCGTCTGTGTGGGACAAGCATACATACACAGAGGTAACAATACAAAACTTAGCACGTCTGTGATGTTATCGATTCAAAAGCGCCCCCTACATGTACATCGCCAACAAAGAGCAGCGAGAAGCAGTACTCCAGTCAGAAGTTATGAGGAAGGTGTCTGATAGACATCGAAACATAGGCTAAGTGAGAGAAGTGCTAGCACTGGTTGCGAAAATGAAACCACTAATATTCTATTCTATGTTCCACCAAAACGTATTATTATAACTAGAAAGGTTTTAAATTTGCAGGGCAAACGCACAATGTCACCCTTCGCATATGGTTTGCTCTATTCTTACTGAAACACATTCATATCTATGGTCAGACAGGAGTAGGAGTCTAAATCCCTTTTGCTGTAAAATTGCAACATGATGTAAACCAACACTATTTACCATGGTAACAGACACAACGTCACTGTGAGGTCACTGGAGAAGAAGAAGAGGAGGAAACGTAGCAAAAACAATATATTTTCCTTAAACATAATAATCCAAACTTAACTTACATAAAATGTTCCAGGCCGGGTGGTGTTTGCTGACCTCGGCTCCGCCAGTGACGCCGAGATCGTCCTGAAATCTCGCGAGATCCTCGTCAGTACGGATGGAGAGTTCTACATCGGCGGCGAGACCTGTCCGTACCAGGGGAAAGTGCGGACCATCCTTATTGTATTATTTTGGTTTTCTGTGTACTTTATTTATCGATTATATTTAGTTTTGTTTAGTTTAGAGGAGGAGGGCCTTGTATAAGCTTGTGATTGATAAGCTTTTCATGCTTCTTCCCTCCTCCTGCACCTGATTTTTTTTATCCTTGTTTTGTATTATTACCTTCTGTTTTTGTTTCATGTGCAAACCAATAAAATCAAAATCTAAGGCCACGGTGTCGCTGTACGGCCGCTCGGACGATCAGAACAACAACAAACAGTTCCTGGTCCTGGAGGGCGGGACACTGGAGGTTCACGGGAAACGGAAGCTGGGCTGGGCACAGCTAACGCAGACTGTCCCGGCTGGGGGTCTCCCTAAGGTGGGTCACCACCATCACTTCTTTATGTTTACCTTCAGAGAAATGAAACATATTTCAGGTCGGTTTCCTGTGAAGGGTAATATAATGTATTTGCTTGCAAATGCTACATTTGTAATCTATACCTAAATCTGTTGTTGAAAATGTTTTTAAATGTTTTTAAATGTTCTTTACATACGCGAATCTTCGTGTTTCTTCCTTACTCTCACATTTCATAGCCTTGACGTGATACATTTTTATGTTTGCCGAGGGAAAGTATATTGTTTTTGCTCTGTTTCCTCTTATTCTTCTCCAAACCAATAAGGTCAATGACCTGACCCAGACGTCTGTCACCATGGTAACTAGTGTTAGGTTACATCATGCTGCAATATTATAGCAGGGATGATTTAGACTCCTGTCACCATATATGAATGTGTTTGAGTAAACAGAGCAGACCATATGCAGAAGTAAACATTATGCATTTGCTTTGCAAATACTGTATTACGTTTCTGGTAACTTACTGTTGTGTCTGTTGAACCACAGGGTACCTACTGGTGGGACTCCGCCCCCGAGTGGCCCCGTGGCATTCACGTGCGCGTGTTTGAGGAGATCTCGGGGATTCACGTCAGCACAGACAGGTTCGACACCCAGGTCAGCAGGGAAGAGAGTCTACGCTTGGCGGCCTTCCTCGATCAGGTCCCCGCCGGGAGGGTGGTGGCGCTAGCGGTGGTCAACACCGCAAATGGAAACCTGGAAGAGACGGCTAGACAGAAGATTCGGGAGCTGGGAAGCGTCGAGGTGGACTCACTGGGGAGGAGGTAACGTTGTTACCTCCATGAAAAATGGAGGTATTGTTTTTGGCGTGTCTGTGTGTGTGTCTGTAGGTCTGTCTGTGTGTCTGTCTGTGTGTTTGTGTTTCCACACATTTATAGTCAGCATAACTTCATAACGCATTTATGGATTGTGATGATATTTAGTATGCTGGTAAGTCAATGTCAAATATGGGCCTCCTGGTGGATGACTTTGGTACTGCAGCAGAACTTCCAGTTTTTTGTATCTTTTGTCCTGAACAAGCTATGGTCTTGACTTTTTAGTAACAGATAGCTTTTCCTGTCAGAAAGAAATGATGTGGGTTTGGTCCCCCTAGCGGGGTGTTCTGGAACTGCAGGGGACTTTCTGGCAAAATGTTTAAAAGCCAATAAGTCCAGATAGGAACAACATATTTTCATAATTTTGGTGTGTAAGTAGCTGAGAGAGAGTTGTACATAATTAAATGCAAATGAGTACTTAATTTGCATAATTAAGGAGGAAATTCTATAATTACAGTGTTTTCTATAATAGAATTTTTATACATGTCATCTATTTGATCTGTGGCAGGCGGAACATCAACAGATACCATGATGCAATGATGACCTAATTTGCATAATTAATGTGAAAATTCTGTGACTCCTTATTGGTGAATGATGGGAATTTTATACCTTGTGACATGTGTAAGTTACTTGAAGGTTAACACCACTATGCATATATTATTTTAATGTAGATGTCGTTTGCATAATTAATGAGGATATGTTGAAATGAAATGAAGTAAGGAGAGGAATTTTACACGAACAAATTGTCATTTGAATTTAGAAAACCATAAATTAAACTAGATTATGCTAATTGTTTTTTACGACCTAATTACGACCTTATTTCCATAGTCAAATAGACAAACAAAAGGACATTTACAAAACTCATATATTTCATGGAGGTATGCGATCTCCGAATTCTTGTTGAAGTTTGCGCTTCCTAGGCAAAGACTCTACCATACTGTCCGGTATCCTCTGAAACATGACGTCCCGCTTTCCTACTGCATCCCGTGGTTTCCTCTACTGCATTCGCCTGCGTTTTATTGTGTTCTACTGTGTTGGACCCCTTTCTGCTGCAGTCTTTAACGTCACGGTTACATTTGCATGCCATCTACACATAGTTCTTATTTACATAAATAGGAATCTTTACATGGTCACGTAAGCCGGAAGTCGGTACCGTCCACCGTTTGATAAAGGTTCCGGGTCGGAGTTTAATTCTGACCAGGGTTCCAAATAGTGCGCAGTAAATTGCCGGATCTACGAGGTTGTCACGCTAGGTTTGGCTCCCCATAGCTCGGCGATCGCTTTAGATTTTCAACTAGGTTTTGAATTGATCAAAAAGCCTTGGGATTGTAGTGTTTTTCGGCGCGGTGAAGTTGGACGGCCAGCGAAGCGTTTTTGGTATTAGGCCGCGAGCAAGGGTGATGCGGTTTGTCGCCTGATGACCCAAATAGCTGCGTTCTATGTGGAATTTCTAGGGGTTCGCGTCACCGGATTTTGCGAAAAACTTATCGCAACAACCTATATTTTTTTTCTGTTTTTCAGAAACAGAAAGTAGTAAGCTATTTCAGCATATAAGCCGTTAGCCTGGGAAAATTCGTTTTTTCCAAGCAGGTCCGTTGAAAAAACTGCAAAAAAAACTCATTTTTCGTATCCAAAATTTACGTTTAACTACAGTTTCTACCCAAATTATAGAGTCGACGGACAATAACCAAAATTGTATCGGAAGCCGGCTGGAAACCTCCGTTGACTGATGTAATGAGATTTCCCGGCGTACTTTTTTTGGCGGAGTTATAGCCCTTCGGCCTGAGGGTGTCCGCCGGATCCAAAATCGTGAAAAAAAACTCCGGTCCGAGACCTAAAGCTAACATTATTAGCGTGGATGAGCTCAACAGAGGTTTCACGAAATATGAGCTTATATATATCCTGTTGATAGTAAATAATGATCTTTCGTCAACCCTGTAGGCATGCCTGGGCAATGGTGGGTATTAAAGGCGATTCCAGCCTTGCTGTGGAACAAAGACTACCATTTGTAGGTAAGTACGGATTCCTTTAGATCATGGGCAACATTTCTGCCTGGTTATCTGTACCAAAATTGTCTTTAAACACACAGAAAGGGCATTGAATTTAGCTGTCTCTACTGAAGCATTCCTCAGATTCGAATGAACGTTCAAGCACTTATAACATGCAGGGCTCGAAATTCATTTTTGGGAATAGGTGCACCGGTGCACCCAACGAAAAAAAAATTGGTGCACAAAAATTATTTGGGTGCACCATATAAAACAAAACCTAATTACAAATCTTACTGCTCCTTTTCTGAACTTGAATCTGAAATGGGACCTAACTTCAGAATCTCAAACAAGTACTACAATTATTTTTTTTCTGACACTTAGATGCCAAGAATATCCTGCATACTATTATAATTTGATATGCACGAAGGAACCTACAAAAATATTTGGGTGTACCAGTGCACCCACAGAAAAAAGTGAGTGCACAGCTCCAATTTTGGGTGCACTAAGGTGCACATGCACCCAGTATTTCGAGCCTTGACATGTGACGTAAGCTATTGGGCAGTGGTTCTAGGAAGCTGGTACCGCTCACCTGAGTGATGATTGGTGTGCCCTAGAGACTCTCTTTCATCTTCCGATCGCACACTGAGTACACTCTCGGGATAGCCGTGCATTCGTCCGTTACAGAAAAGGCTGCCTTAGATGGGTGGCGTCGGGTGGCGTAGTGGTAGATCATTCGACTGTGAACCGGGAGACCCGGGTTCGATCCCGAGTCGTACTTGAGACATGTCTGACATGCATCCGACGTTGTGTCCTTTGGAAAGGCACTTTACACGACTTTCCTCACTCCACCCAGGTGTGAAAGGGTACCTAACTTCGGTTGGGGAAAGTCGTATCGAGGTCACCTTGTGGCGCCGAATGGCAGCCGCACAGACCCTTGCGGCAGTTCCGCAAAAATGTGGAACAAATATGTATAATGTGTATTATGTGTATTATTATGTGTATTATTACCATTTGTATCATCTGATCGTAAACCCTGCATCAATTCAGCACTATGAGGCTGCGATTGCACGGGTGATGTTTGGCCAATAAACCATTTATTAGACCCTTTCCGGACCGTTGAGGGCCTGTTACAGCCTGTTTGAAGCAGCAAAATCATACAAGGACCTAAGATAAATATGTCTGTGCCCTAAAGTAATGTGGTTCCCTTTTCAGATACGCAGACCACCGGCACGGCCACCGCCACGGTCACTCTACAGGCCTTCTTCGGTTCATTCAAGGTCACAGCGAAAAGCGAATGGCTTGGAGGTAAGTCTATAGTCGGGAGTGATGGGCCTAAGACTATCGTAATATCATCAATAAAAAGCCTTAAACAGTGTTTAGAGTTAGATGTGCAATGGTTGGTGTATGTAACAAGTCGTTCGGTGCATTATGGTTGCCGCGCCGCGTGCCTGCGAAGTTGGTGTATTTGGCTGAGGGGCGATTATACCGGCTATACAGATACAGATACACCGTTTGAAATTCGAGCCGTTGGGAAGCCATCAGAGGTACATGACCTTTTAGGCCACAGAAAGTAATTTTATGGATGACATCACCGTGCGCATTAATTTTCGTCTGATTTTGAAAAAAAATGTATATATGAAGATAGGGCACAGCACAAGGCTCTGGTTTATTGTTTTATCTTTTACTTTGATGAAGTGAAGTATTTCATTCATTTTATATGCGATTGTGGCTGTGTATGTGGGATGTTTCCACTGAATCAAAACCATTTGTAAATGATTGAAAACTTATCTTTCAACGTTCTTTCAGCACGCGATGAATATTGTAATAGCTGGCAGTAAACCTAGCACAAAATGGGCATCATTCCTTGTTTAACAATGTTTAAGATATCAAAATTTGAAAATATAGGAAGCTTGTTGTTTTTAGCCCGCCTTGTTTTTTTCGTCCTATTGCATTAGATTCGCAGTCTAAGGAGGATGTCATCCATAAAATTTACTTGCTGTGGCCTTAACTTTATGACGTATGCTCCTTCCTTCTAAGGACAACCCAGATGTACCTTCACCGTGCACGGCCATGGCGACGAGACGGTCATCAACCTGAAAGATGACGTCAGCTCGTGGGAACCTGGTGACCACATCGTGCTGGCCAGTACGGACTACCAGATGGAGCAGGCGGAGGAGTTTCAACTACTGCCGTGCGAGGAATGCTCGAGTCGACAGGTCAAAATCAACGGTACGATTTACAGATAACAATTGTTCCTATAGATAAAGCTGAAGTATGTTTCAAAGCAAGGATTGGACTCACCGATTTGTCGCGCAGTCCCTTAGTCCCCTTTAGAATAACTTATAAATAGGTCTGTTGCTTATTTTTTTATAATTAGGACTCGTCACCTTCAGGAAGTGTGATGTGAGCAACACGCAGTTCAAAGGTGGTTGGTAGTCCGTAGCAGCCCCCGTCTCGGTTTCATTTAATTTCATTTATTTACCCAGGTGATACATATCGCCTTGTCGGCGTTTTTCAATGATACCTGGGGGTAAACCCCAACATAGTAAAATACAAACAAAGTAACTGAGGATAAAATACAATAATAAATAAGAAGAAAATAATCACTATATACAAGTGTGCAATTAATCATAAGGTAACATAAAGAATCCAACCAACATAAATAAGTCAAAGCGAAAGGAATTTGCATATCAATGGAACTTATCTCACAAGCATGAATCAAACAAAATCATATTAACTGGTAAGGAAAATCATAATGTTTGTAAATATATATATGACTGGTTTATTTATTTCACACAAATACAAATACAATACCATAGCAGCCCTTCGGCTGAATTGTGGTTATTGTTTACATTTAAACAATATAAAATCAGCTATAACGATTCAATACAACAATGTTAAACAATATAAAATCAGCTATAACGATTCAATACAACCATGACTTACACAATGAACATGTCAACTATCATTTAGTAACTTTACAATGAAAGGTAAAGTACTGTTCTTAAATCTCGATGTTCTGCAGCTAAATTGACTGATTTGATTTTTGGACCTGAGTTCTCTGCCATGTACAATTGCACGTGTAGGCGGTAACCAACTGGAGAAAGTAGGGGATCTTGATAAAGGCACTGCAAACTTCTTACAGAGTAGGACTCGTCTCTGGTACAGAGAGGTAAGGGACAGCTGGCCTAGGGCTGCATCATAGTTGACGTAGTTCTTACCCAATACAATTCTACATGCTCGCCTTTGCACAGACTCTATGTGTCTAGACTGAACAGAGGTGATGCCTGGGTGCCACACGGGGCAAGCGTACTCTAGTAGTGGTCTTACAAAACCGCAGAAAACTAGAATCAGGTCATTATCACCAAGTCCATACTTCTTTAGCACTCGCACCAGGTAAAGTCTACGGTTGGCTTTGCTCACCATGGAGTTTACATGGGCGGACCACTTGAGATCTGATTGAAGTGTTACACCTAGTACTTTCGCAACATGGACAACTTCCAATACAGACGGCCCCACAGACAACTGTGGAGGTGGGGGTGGTTCTCTCATAAAACATACTACCATTACTTTGCACTTAGATGGATTAAGTTCCATATGATTAGACCCTGTCCAGTGAACTAAATCACTCAACCAAAATCAAATTAACTGGTGAGGGAAGAAAGTCTGGTCTTAAATGTGCTGATAGATTTTGAGTTTCTTACATGTGGCGGAAGGGAGTTCCAGAGAACTGTGCCGGAGAATGAAAATGATATCTTTTTGTACGGTAGACGTGCTTTAGGTAGTTGGAGCCCCCCCCCCCCCCTCCGTGTACTGTGTCGGGTGTTGTGTGAGTGGGTAGAAGCAGATGTTGTGAAGTATTGTGAGATGTGCGCAGGTGTCATACCATTCAGTGCCTTGAACGTGAGGACAGCCTTGGCCCGTGTGTGGTGTTGTGATACGGTGGTCCAGCCTAGCAGGTTCAAAACAGTTTCACTGGAAGTGTAGCGGTCGCACCCTAATATGACCCTACCAGCTCTGTTTTGTAGCTTCTGAAGCTTGTCTGTACAACCCTTCCCCCCCTGGTCCCAAACAGTGCTGCAATATAAGATGTGGGGGAGGAACAGTGTGTTGTAGATAGTCAGTAGTGCTTGTTTGTTCAAGTATGGTCTTAGGCACTTCATTATTCCAATTGCTTGTGACAGCTTCTTTGAAACATGGGTAAAATGGTGGTTCCACTGTAGTGTGTTGTCGAGGACAACGCCTAGATACTTGGACGTTTCCACTTGTTCCAGTTCTGAGCCAGCAAGTGTAAGTTGCAGGTGCTGGTCAGCAGCTCGGGACCTGTGTGAAGCAACTAGCATTAATTTGCATTTGGAAGGGTTTAAGGAGAGTCTGTTGGCGATAAACCAGTACACTAGCCGGGTAGAGTCGTTCTGGATTGTGTCCTGTATTGTGTGTGTGCAGCTGTGTGAAAAGTAGAGAATGGTGCCATCTGCATACATGGCTACCTTACAGGACTGTGTGCAATTGGGAAGGTCATTAATGTAGACAATGAAAAGAAGGGGTCCAAGGATGGACCCCTGCGGAACGCCGCAAGTCACGTTAGATGGGTACGACAGGACTGAGTTAAGGCATGTACGCTGTAACCGGCCTGTCAAGTATGACTTGAACCATCTACATGACATTTCATCAACACCATAGGCTTTAAGTTTACTGAGCATGATGTCATGATTTAGGGTGTCAAAGGCCCTGGATAGGTCGCAGAAGATAACACCAGTTTGTTGTTTTTTGTCAATAGACTCAATCCAGTCCTATGTAACAAAATGCAGGGCTGTCTCACAAGAATGACGCTTTCTGAAGCCTGACTGGCATTGTGAGA